CAAGGCGTCCGTTTTATTATTCGTCTTCAAGATCCTGGTCGGTAGCTCAAACATTCAAAGGTCAAAGGTCAAATATGGAGTCTAATTTCCTTGTTTTGGCTTATATGTCATTTTACAAAGAGTTTCAAAATTTTCACAATTACTAATATTACCATATGTTCACAAGTATAACTTGGTGTATCTAGCACAATACCAAGTTCCGTTGTTAATGGTTACACATACATGATTATGGCATAAGTTGAGAAAAGTAAAACATGTGCAGTACATAACCTGGTCATGCATGTTTTTTTGAAATTAGGTTGCATAAATGTATATTAGTATTAGATTTTTTTTTATTTTTTTATCCTTTCAGTATTGGAGACATTCGTAAACAAGTGACAATAATAGTAGGTAGAAATAGGGAAGTAATCGTGTCAAAGGTCAATAATCGAGTTTTTTGTGCGATACTTAAATTTGGTCATCCCAAAAACTGGCTAAAATTTAATTGAATATTTTGTCTTAACTTTAAAGTCATATCACTAGGTGATCTTGTGGATGTGGAATGTCAATGTAAAACACAATTTCTAGACTTTATGATATTTATAAATAAAAATTGATGTACATGTTTTTTTTAATAGTCACAATATATTTATGACATAAAATTAATATAAACCTTACGATTATCTGCTAATGTATGGTGTTGATGTTTTCAAACTGAATTGTCTGTTTACTCGAACATATTGGAAAAATATTGTATTGTTAGTGGCAAACAAGCTAAAAGCGTCAACGTCAGGCACATATTTAAATTATTTCCCTACTATTTAATAGCTCTTTTCCAATTATGAAACTTAAATACAAATAGCCCATAAATTTTTTCTCTGCTGGCAAAAGTTGTACAAACGGCATGATTAAGTATGAAACATGCAATTTATTATTTTACGCATTGTTAAAGGGATTACGTCAAAGAAAAATAATGTTATTAATACAAACAAATTCATTTGATTTGTGATATTAAATGTATTTTTGCTGGACAACTTACCTACTGAGACATATATTATTGTTTTTCAATAATTTAATCAAGAGAGTTAATTGGAGAGTATGTTTATAAGCGTATACCTTCCCACACAATCGAATTAAAATACATTCCCAGACTGTATAAACTAGGTTTATAATCATACAAATTAATATAATATTACCGATGTCGCGTTATTAAATTGAAGTTTTCATTAAAACAAGGATGAAAAACTTGAAATAAATCCATAAAATAAAACAGTTACTGTGGCTTATATGCTTTTGCTTAAAACGTAATACGATGCATGTAAACAAACTGTTCGTATTTTGAAAATGTTCTGCTGTTTTCAGTTAATTTACCTGTACTTTAAAAATCTTTTTTTCACATTTGTTTATTAATATAAGATTTCTTAGAATTTTTACATCATAAGCAATCCTAATTTATAATGATATAAAGCCTTAGCCTTAACGAATATTTTAAATTTGTAAAACTAGTAAACAAGTTTCACAGTCCGCACATGAATTACTCTTTTAATCGACTTTTTTTATTTCATTATTACTAGATATATGATTGCAGTTCAGCTGTCCTTGGTTAATCAAAAATTATATTAGAAAGTTCCATATGAACACATTGTTTGCATTTCCAATACACCCAACAGACATAGCATGGACAACTTTCCATGTTGTCGTTAAGAGCGGTTACTTTTTATTCTTATTTCTCATTCTTTACTTTACAGGTCGTTTTGTTGTTTCTTATTAAAGACGGCATGAAAACATCATGTTTAAATATTGAATTCCGCTAAAGCCGGTGCTAAGGGGAGGGGATGAGGTACATCTACAGTAGTTTCCATTTACCACTACCGTCAAAAGGCCCGATCAAACCGAGACTGCAAAGTTTTTACTTTTCTGTCGTTTTTGGTGTTGCCGTTTTGGGCATTTTTAAGTTATTTTGTTTTCCTCTATGTTAAAGAATAAGGCTTACATCTATTACAAAGACATATTTCGGTAAGTGTATAATCACTTGCACCCCTCGAGCTCGCCGCTGTAGTTTCAAATACCTGTAGGAACATTGGATTCGTTCATGTAAGGAAGCTATCCAGCTAGCTTACGAAACATCGGTGGCCATGCTAATGTGCCAGCTTATGCCTGAAATAATGCTTGCATGTGTACTTGAGATCTAAAAAGTCGCCATGTATCTTATACTGTGTTGGTGCAACGTAAAACACAACCAAAAAAGTTTTGTTCCCTGCATCGTATCGCTAATTATACATAATAATCATATTATCATACAAATCAAACGCCTAGTGTTATCTTTCTGTGGTATTGAAATAAAACTGTTTTGGCAAAAATATTGAGTGCATTTCGTCTTCGTCTGTTAATTTAAAATAATGTTTTTAAAATAACAGTCATTCACAGCATGTCAGTTGACCGTTTCAAAACATTTAATAAACGTGAAAAAAAAACACCACAAAACATTTCCTTACGTAAAGTACAGACATTTGTTCAGTTCTGATTAAATGTTGTATAATAATGATATTGATATGTATTCATAAATATTTCATTGGAGATTATAAATCTTGATTTGTTCTAGAAACCTATCTGTTTGTTATTCGGAAAACGACGAATTGATGCAACAAAATCCTCAGATTACACGAAATGAATACGTAATGAACATTATATCTTCCTATACTGACAGTTCAGTTTGAAAAATACATATTTATTTTCCTGTATCTCCATAGTTTAATATCGAAAAAATCTCGTGTTATATTTAATATATACTGTTAGTTAATATGATAGTGTCAATAATTGAGTAGAACTCTTGTAACATAGTCATTATATAACAAATCAATAGTTTGTTTTCATAAACGTTTGTCACGTTAAACAGTTTATTTCTTTTCAGTTTTACCCATTGTTTTATGAAATATGCAATTACCAGAGATGTCTTGTTATCCAATTGACAACAAACCAATATGTTTGCTTTCATAACGAATTGTACCCTATTTAAAAGTCCACCCCCATTGTTTCATTTCTAACACATTCATTCTTTAATTTGGAAACCGTTTTGCTGTTTCCCATGGAATATTAGGTACGTGTGAAATTGAAGTTCTTAAGGTTACATCTGCGGATTTCTCTGAATTTTACCAATTACATAACCATTTCTGCTTTTAGCCGGTGCTATCGGGAGTGGACGGTAGGTTGCAATTACCAAGAGCGTCCAGTCAAATCGAGCCATTAACATTTTTGAATTTTAAAGTTGGGGCGTTCATTACGGATTCTGTTCACTCGATCTCTATCTTATTTTGATCGAATAGGGCATTAAATTACATTGGGAACAGGAACAGGTGTTCATGTACTAAAAGCCCCTGTTGTGATCAAAGTGGTTAACCACCTTAAGTGAAATTATATATATGTACATAATTATGCAAATTAAACAATTTTCAAACATCGAAAAATATGTAAAATATGTCCTGCAAATATTTGCGCATATTATATGTAATCATTAAAATATATGCATTCATTTCATATTGTAAAATTTGACTTCAACTTTATAGATTTTTTGTTTCTAATTACCTCCCTTTATTTACACGAACTGTTTAATTCGGTAATATATTTTTAAATAATGCTTTAAGAAACCTACAATGTTGACAAATCTTAATTCGGCGGCACGAAATACCCCAAAATACCAACCAAATACACCCAAATATAGCAATATTTATTTTTGTTTGTTTAAAATAAAGATTATAATGAGAAATAAATAAATATTTATAAAATAAAATGACTTAGCCTGCTATAACTTTCATTCATTCCGTTGAAATGGGCAGTTAAGATGTTGTAAGAAAATAAAGTTGTAACATTTGCTTATCTCCTATATAGGTTCTTTATTAATGTGAATTTCAAATCAAGATATGGTATTTGTTGTCTACACTAACATTTTTAAGGCGTAATTTTGTTGTAATTTCATATCATATACAAGTGTCCATGTTATTTAAAAAAATGGCTTTAATGCAGTACATATATACAGTATTTTGGTTCAAAACACAATGATAGGAAAATGTATATTTGGGTATGTTTGATTATATCTTAGTGAAAGTGTATATTGTATTCATGATCAAAACAGCACTTTTTAGTCTAAAACATTTATTTTTTGTATAATTTGGCAATATTTGGGTAAATTTAGGCAATATTTGGGTATATTTGAGCAATATTTGGGTGTTATGGGTATATTTGGGTATTTCGTGCTGCCCTCTTAATTTGAGCATCATATTTTAAAATTATGATTTAAAATCATAACAAAATTGTGTTACATGATCCTTAACAAAAACAACCAAAACTATTATAAATTACAACAAGAATACGATTATGCTCAATAGACCTGGTATATATTAAACAATACATGCCTGGTATATCTTTCAGTAAAATATTTTGCTGTTTAACATACAAATTATTTTCAGTCAAAACCGTTTCTGAACATTAATTATAGTGTATGCGATTTTACATTTTTACCGTTGGCTTAATATGTATTTTACGGTGTCCTATTTCGTCCACAAAATTTTGCTAGTACCATGCGATAATTATTGCCACTAAAGAGCAACATTTATTACTAAATATCGCATGATTGTCTTAAATTCGCTTGTCCATCAAGCGATAATTATTGCCTTTTCTAGAGAACAGGGACACTTTTACTAAGGATATTTAACAATTTAGCCCCGATAATTATCGTGTTAATCGCAGTATAATTATCGTGTTAATCGCAGTATATTGTGTGTTGCTTACGCGATGATTATCGCGTTGAAAGGCGCTTATTATCACATGAGAGACTAGCGAAACATAATACATGGGGCATTTAGTATTAATTTTCGCCCGTTTACAGGCGATAATTATCGCATGTTTACTAGCGGAATTTTGTGGACTAAATCATACACCGTAGTATTTACCGTCACAAATGCTATATTTTCAATGCGCCATACCAGTTATGTCAAACTCCTCACCATGCCATCAATCAAATTCTACATGCTAATGAAATATTTGATACATTCCTGTTTATATATTTCAGATGTGTTGTATGTATGGGTGCACTTGTACTAAGTACGCTTTCAACAATAAGAGATTTTGAACCATTAATGACGAATACAGTGATGTATATAGTAAGTATATAATCAATAAAATGTAATATATCTTTTAATTAAATCGTAACTTACCTGATTATAGAACGATTTAGCAGACACGAAGCTTCATCGCTTTTACGCTATAATTTGTGTTTGATATGTTTACTCTGTATATTGGGAATCTCCTTGCAGCTGAGGGGTTGCCTTTAATGGCTGAGGCATCAGAAAAGCAGCCACCTTTAATCCCTACGTGATATAAAGAGGCGGATAAAGAGATTCGAATAACTGGAGTCTGTGTATCTGTTAGCTCCAGCTGGTGAGGTTATTTTGACCCCGGTTGCTGCTTTAATTTTTTTCACACCTGAAGTTAGCCAAATTATTTTTTCCTGTTTCGGCGCAATTGACCTAAATTATGTTGGCGCCCCGTAAAACCAAACAAAACAAAGAAACAAACAATTGGAATGAAACTAAAATATATTTCTGACTACATGCATGTTTCTCATATATATAAAATGTATCAGTCGAATGAAAATAAATTTTGTATTTTTATTTTCTTCCAGGAGCCAATTTTGTTATTATGGTTAGTAGTTGAATATTCTGTTAGAATATGGGCGTCAGGATGCAGATCGCGTTACCAGGGTTACCAAGGAAGACTGAAATTTGCTCAACGGCCCCTTTGTATAGTAGGTTAGTATGTTCATGTGTTCATGTGTAAATTCAACACACATACATTCTGTTTGTAGATAATCATATTAATTAAAGCATATCATGTTTGCCTTAGAGGCGCTTGTTTAAAATTATAAAAATTAAACCAGAAATCGTCTGTCAGATCTAGTACAGGATTATGAATAATGGTCTCTGCAACTCTGGCGTGTTAAAGATGCTAACGTATTTCTAGCTGTACACATTTAGTCATGTCATAGGAGCCATGCATTAAAAATATATATAATTTGATCTTTATATGATGATGATCTTTGATTAAGATCAGGATCAAATTTAAAAACTGATATTTTTCATTTTGTTTTCCTCATCGACTAAATTATTTTAAATTGGCTTGGCTTGGCCTGCTTATGACATTTGAGAATTAATTTATTGTTAGTTTATAAGATATGGACATTTTACACTTTATCAAAATATAAATCTTGACCCTAAATTTATCCCTACTTTAATCCGATTATATTTTGTATCTGTTTTGTAATTTGTCGATTGTATCCCAAAACTAGGATTTTTGTTCGCAAAGCAGCAACTGTTTCACATTTTGTTTACGTATTATTTAATTCTAGCGAAATATGATCAATTTTAGACAATAAAACCACCATCATCTGATCCTGAGCTAATCTTTTTTTAGTGCATACGGGACCTGGTATCCATTTAAAACACGTCTTATTCTCGTAGTCCTGAAAAAGGAATAATATCTGACGTTGTTATCAAGAGAACATCTAAAATAAATACATAATTGTGAAATAAGGTAACTGTTACTTTTGTTATCTGACTTTGTTTCGAAAAAGTAAATGAAACAAGTTAAATATTGTTACTATAATTACTTTTTTACATTCCAGATGCAGTTATAATCTTGTCCACATTATTGGTAATACTAGTAGGGAGCACAGCCGATAGATTTGCTGCCTCCACTCTAAGAGGTCTACGATTCTTCCAAATATTACGAATGGTGAGAATGGATCGTAGAGCAGGCACTTGGAAATTATTAGGCTCTGTTGTATGGGCCCATAGAAGAGTAAGTGGCACACAAATTAATGGCATGATTTAAAAAAAAAGAAGAAAAAGACAAGAAAAAAGAAACTGAGTCTTCCTTTAATTATCGTAAATCTTTTTTATTGCTAAATATTGCTAAGAGCATCACTGAACGTCTCTTAGTCTGACCTCTTAAAATCAATTAGCTAATTGTGAATAAATTATATTGAATTTTATCACTAGGAGATCAGTCTTAAATGGCTGTGGCTTCATTCCATCTTGGGTTACAGGGCTATACTCCTTTAATAGGCAAAGTGATAGGTATTACCCTCTATCTATATGAGAGCAGGAGTGGTTGGTTTAACTTATCCATTCTTCCGCACAACCTTTATCACCCGTGGAGTGTGGTCTAAATTTTGAATTGACCACGGTATGCTTAAAAGCGTTTTGCCCTTACTGCTTGATAACAATTTTATTTTTTAGTTTGGTTTACAGTAAAATAATTTATTTAAAGCTTAGCTGTCCTTCTTAAAAACGGCTGATTCTTTCCAGTGATACTGAGGTATTGTTCATGTCTATAATTGTATTTATTTTCCAAAAAATGATTATGAATGTAATTAAGGTAAATTTTAGAACATGTAATTAATCTTCAATTCAGATTGAATAAGACTATAAGCTTCTTTCTTTTTTAGTATTTGTCCATGCTATAATTTCATATAGGATTTGTAGATAACATAATATTAGACATTACATTAGACCTATTGCTTTATGGTCTATTTTTTTATGATATTCCTATAGCTATAAATCACTATCACTGTACTAATTGCCAAAACAAATGCAACAATAGCATTGCCAAACAATGCAATAGTAGCAAACGAAAAAGGTTCAGGTTATTGGCAAGTATGTAACTCTTTGGAAACAATAAGTGGACACCGAATATAAAATGCATTTAAGAAACGAAAAGCACTTCTGATGCATAATTGACCTATAAAAACATTGGTCGAGAAGCAATATCACGTGATAAAAGCACTGAACCCATTTCCGCTTTTACATTGAAATTAATTAAATTTTATAGATATTTTGATAATTATGTATATTCGTTGATATTTCAGGAACTTTTAACGACCTTGTATATTGGATTTCTTGGTTTATTATTTTCATCATACCTCGTGTATCTCGCTGAGAAAGATTATAACAAACACAAATTTGGCACGTATGCAGATGCCCTTTGGTGGGGCGTGGTAAGAATCCAACGTTATTGCAATATTATTATGTTTACATATTTAAAGTAAAATCATTCAGGCCAATAAAATTAGATTATTAGTGATTTCAAGATGAAATTACTGAAAAACTTAGTTTGAAACAACACAGATCTTTTCTGGCCGACAAAAATTTAAAAGCTAAATACTGCTTTAAGTTAGTAGTATATACTTCATATATATGACCATAATGCACAGCGTCAATTTGACTGATCATCCAAATATATAAAAAAAATCTAGTACCTTCGACATTCATTTCAAAAATATATATTCTTTGTTAGTAGCGCACTACTGATAGTAAGAATAGCCGTGTTCAGTGATTATGAAGTTGTTTCTTGTTGATGTATGCTTTCATATTGTGCTTATATCTGTAGGTAACTTTATGTACGGTTGGGTATGGAGACGTTGTACCAGAGACGTGGGCGGGAAAACTTATAGCGTCATTTTCCGCAATTTTAGGAATAGCATTCTTTGCTTTACCTGCCGTAAGTACAAGAATACCCTTTTAGGAATTTCTTACACCATTAACTAATTTCTATTAAAGTCCGCCTATGGAGTTCGTATGTGAGACCCTAGCAGAGAGAGTGACAGCTTGAAAAGCAGACCCTTTGCTTGCATAACAGCCCTTTTCAGGGCTACTTTCTCCTTTTCTTGTTGTCTCAGGTTCTCATTGTCGCCGTGCAAGGACATACTTTTGGTTCAAAATTCATATCTCCGGCTAATACTCCGTAGAACTTGCATGGGAACAAATTATAACCAATTTATGCTTTATAATAAACTCTGTGCGGACATGACTGGTGACGTGTCCGCGGTCTGTACTTGACAGCGAAAGCTGGTTTTAGTATCTTAACGGACGGATAGTCCCTATTTAAGCATAGACTACATATATAAATCGTGCTTATTGATACGCCTGTTTAATAAATATAAAATATTCTGAAACTCGTAGACGGGTATTTCAAAGGTCTAATAAAAGTGAACGTTTGAAAATTGTTATGTGAGTGCTTGTTGACGAAATTATATGTTGCATTTGTTAAACTCAAACAATCTGATTCCTAACTACAGTCGACTCTCGTTATCTCGAAGTCATTGGGACCGTCCAAAAAATATCGAGATAACGAAATGTCGAGATAAACATATAAGGGTTAGAATAAAGCGAAACTAATTTTTAAAAAAGACATGTGCATACATTATGTCAAATAAACTATAATATCCCTATGTCTTGTTTTCATAGCACTAGTCAATATTTGACAAAGTAACATTTAGCGGATGTTTACCAGCGGAAAAACGGGTGTCTGTGATAAAAACACATAGTGAGGTTTACTCAGTAATACACCAATATAGTTAATCGGATATCGGATATGGTTGATTCGGATATCCTCCCGGGTTATTTATCGGGTCTTTCTCGAGATTGTTCGACCGCTGATTGATTTGGTGGTGATGTTGTGAAACAATATTGCAACGATAGCGTTTCTATACTTTTACTTTTTCATTTACATTTAAAGTCATAATGAATTGATACAGTGTTCGAATATTTAAAAAGAATGTAAAATTCACTCATTTTGGACATAAGTCAATCAACACGCTATATAGATTAACTTTTATTAAAACAGCTAAACTTGTTACAAACATAATCGGCATTATGACACGCGCTGTTAATTGAGCAATTATCGTCTAGATTGTGTTTTTCACACGTCTGACGGGAACAGACGAAAGAAAACTATTAGTCGAGATAAACAAAAGATAATAGTGTGAAAATAACTGTTGGGGCTGAAATTTTACATCGAGATACTGAAAATATCGAAATAGAAATATCGAGATAAACAAATATTTCCAATATACATAAATAGGGAAGAAAATCGGGACTTTCAAAATTTCATCGAGATAACGAAATATCGAGAAAAGCGATGTCGAGATAACGATAGTTGACTGTAATTCAATAGTTCAATAACTAATTGTGTTATCATCAGTCAAGGGAGATCTTTCCTTTTTTCAGAATCTGATTGTATATAAATAAATTACTATTTAAGTATATATCTTTTATCCGGGAAGTACATATTAAATTTGTGTTCAGTTTTGTTAGTAATCATGATGGCCTATATGCCTAAGTAATTAAATACTAATCATTCGAACGATAATCTGTGCATTATTTGACTACAACGCAAGACAAATTATCAATTTTCATTCCAAATTGCAAAACATATTTATGGATAAAAAGAGCAGATTAGTTATTGTCATGACATCATTTGGTTAATTGATGCCACATCTGACATCATAATGACATTTTATAATTCCTCTATTAAGATTGTCCAGTCTGATTAATTAGGGGAAAAGCGTGCCACATGATTAGAATAAAGATTTACGCATTACATTTAATAACAATTTCATGTAAATGTTATGAAGGTAGGATTTTGTACTTACATATATAATTATGATCATATCAATTCATATTACACTGTATCTATGTCTAAAATCTCAATTGTTTATTCACATTTTAGGTAACCAACTTTTAAGAAAAAGTAAACATATAAGATTGTGTTCTTGTTTTAAAAGTGTTTCTGTTCTGACGTCGATTTAGACACATTGTCATAACTCGCTTGTCTATCTTCCTCACCAGATTTCCTTGAAAACTCATGTAATAACTAATCATCTGCAAGTGAACGGCTACTAACCATACAAAAGTTTCGAATCAGCGACGACAGGGAAATGACCATAACATCCAATGCCCAATACCATATAGTCATAGAGAAATCACGCATTGCCGGATGATCGAATTAGCGACCCCGCTTTTACTAATCAGATGCTCTCCCAATTGTAATAAACCGGCTAATCTAAACGTTCATTAAATACTGTATATGTTAAGCATCACAAAATAAGACATATGAATATTCTTGTATTCGTGTTTTTTTATTTTACAGGGTATTTTAGGTTCCGGTTTTGCTTTGAAAGTGCAGCAGCAACAACGTCAGAAACATCTTATTCGAAGGCGAGTTCCTGCAGCGTTACTTATTCAAAGTCTGTGGCGGTGCTATGCTGCCGATGAACATTCTATATCCATAGCAACATGGAAACCTCATATGATTCCCTGTCCGAGCCCAACAACGTAAGAACTCTTCACATACCACCTACTAATTAAACAGCACATTATGCCTTAGAAACAAATAATTTTTTACTTCTTTAGAAAGGGCAAAGTTTACCAAAAATTATAATTATGATGTTTTTTTTTAGAAAGTTACATGCTTATTTACGTAGTGATAAATGTGAAATAATGTGTGATGATAAACGTGTCAAAATGTAAACAAAGGAGTATTTTAACTTCCATACATTCAAAATACTAATTCACTATTACTGTATTTATTGCCAAAAAGCAACATAATAAATAGCTTGTTTAGGTTCATTTTTGGATACTGTAAAAGTACACCAAAATTAAATGAAAATAAAAACATTTCTAAGGCACGATGGAGATTTAACATTTAACAATGAATATAGTTATGTATTTGTTTTCAACATTATGTTTTGCTTTTTATCTATGTATGTTATAATTCTCATACTGTGATTATCCGAGCCGTTATTTAGATAAATGAATTTCTATTACAATCCAATTGAACAAATACAAAATATATATCCCAGTCACAGTGGTGTAGTTGTTACTTATACTGTATAAATAAAAGTCGTGATTTAATTTGAATGTTGATTACTATCCAGTGGAACAAAGATATGCCAGGTTTAGCGATGCAATTGTCTTAAGCTTTTATTGATGTCATTTCATGCATTTAAGCATCAGAAATGACATTTATACTACCTAAAATGTATGAAAAATAGAAAATGGAATTACAATTCCAATCTTTTGTTTTACAAAACATAATGTCAGCTTGAAAGACTTGGGTTGTTTTTGCTGTACTGTTACAGCAGGAAGCAAAATGATGCTCTGTTGACAAACCGTTTTATTTCTCACTTCCTCGAAGACACTATTATTTCATTTTGTTCTTTTAAATGAAACATTTCAAGTTGGAATTATTTTCTTTTGTAAGGTTTCTTCTTCAAAAACGAAAAAATGCTAAAAGCTTCTTTTAGTGCGGAAGTGTAAAAAATAGTTGTTCGTGTAGTACAACTTTTAAAAAATGTATTTAATTGATTTAAAATTAGGCCTGATGGTTTTAATTTTGATTAGTACACGTTTGTCTTTATGTAACTCTAGACTATTTTTCTCAAAACGAGAATGATTATGATTGTTGTAATAAGGAAAGTTAATAATTTAGTGTCACATGAGAATAAATTGAAAACGTTTAACATGTGAGCTTCTTTAGCGTTCTGAAATACTCGAAGCACTTCCGTCTTTTTTTAAATTATTTACTATATAAAGTCAAGTGAAGAGGTGACATATTAAGAACGTCAGGTGGCGCATATGGAGCTCCAATAAATTCTTAAAGACTAGAAACATAAAAATGGGAAATTCATATATCAACCCGGGCTCTCGAAACTAAACAGAAAAAAAAATTGCAAAAGAAAAGAAAGAATAAACTGAAATCAGAATTCAATCTATTTTTTCACATGATGTTAACTAAAATTGTTTAAACGATTTTCATTTAATGGTACAAAAGCAATGACACGCTTTTAATTTTGAGGTCATTTTAAACAATAAAATACTAGATATTCGGACAAAAAGCGAAAGATCTCAGATTTTGCACACAAATTATTGTTCCCCACAGTCATCGGATTGTAAAATAATCTCGTATCGAACGTATTTTTTATGTAATAATCATACTTTTAATAATACTTGTATGTAATTATATATACTTTTTAAGTACTTTTGTAAAGACATTTAATCACTTCTGAATTGCATTTCAGTGAGAGGCCTTTTAAACAAAATGCGTCCTTTGTAAGCAGATTCTCTACACGCCGTAAAGATAGAGGAAGTGTGAATTCTAATTCGAACAATAACAATAGCGGCAATGTGAGCCCGCACTCGCCTATGGTACCACGAAGGGAGCGGAATAAACTGGGGTCATATTCCGAAGACGATGTTCCGGATACAATTCAAAGGTAAACGTTGTTTCGAGTTTCCTATTGCTGTTTTTTTTTAACGACGCTGCTTTGTTATTTTTATAGTAATGCGTTAGTGATAATGTGGTTGTTTTCTTTAACCCTTTTACCACGCTGATTATCTTAAATGGACTTGTCCATCTTTTCAATTTGTACCATACAATTTGTCATTGTGATTGAAAACGTACTGAATAGCGAATAGTGCAGACCTTGATCAGACGGCGCATATCTGCTGGATGATCTTCGTCTGCACTGGTAGAACAGTTGTCAACAGTAAGGTTATGTTTAATGCTTATAGTACCCTGCCCTGCACTTTGTAATATGCAACTACATCACACAATTCTAAAAATGCAAAACTGATCTACATGATCTAAGCCAAATGATATGTTTTCTTTGTTTTAATAGTAAATATTTCAAATCTGATATATTGAATGCTTAGAAGTTTAAAGCTATCCATGTGGCATAGTTGATATATGAATATCCGTTCAAACATTATTGAAAAGCCGTTGTATCGATGCATGCCGACATATTTTAATACAAGTCCCCGGTCAATTATGAAGTCATTCACAGAGTAGCCTTACTTGCAAAAGCCTCGACTGTAACATTTAAATGCGGTTTGGGTAAGGACGGTATTATGGTCCAAAGTCCTGTACATTAAATGCAATTCTACCCTTGGTTGTTGTTGGAGGTCATCTTTATTAAATTACGTATAAAATGTTCCAAATCACCTATTATTGATTGAACTCATATAGAAAGTAAGTACTGTGTGAAATTAAAGTGTTGTACAAATCACCGTTCCTGATTGTGTAGCCACTTGTGTCAATGATGCGAAATTCTTGTTTTTTTACATTTGGCAATGATATCAAGCTGTGTTTTAAATTGAACATTAATAGGTATCACCGGTATTTATGTATTCTTAATGTAATAGACAGTCCAATAACAAGCGGGCTATGATGTAGCATGCAATGTGTATATCTTATTTTACAATTTAGACTACATCACACAGTCATTTTTATTACTATTACATCAAAATTAAGCAAATTCTGATTACAAAAAATCTGACGACAGCTTTTGATTTATTCCAGCTTCGTTAACCGAACATGGTAAGTTGTTGTAGTACATGAACGCATTTTGAGATGGAAATGAAAATGTGTATTCTAATTTGCTTGTGTGATATTGTATTATGTTTTTACTGTCGAATCACTTCTCTTTTGGTACAATGGACTGATAAGAAAACAATGACATGGTCAATATGTATTAAAGAAACATATACCAAATAATTTAGTATTTGGTGTTCTTAAATTAAATCATTTTTGTTAGGGGCAAGAAATCTGGAAAAAAGTGTGATCACCAACAACAAAATACCATGAACATTGCAGATTGTTTGCTGAGTTTCATTGCATCTGTAATCAAGTCTGCAGTAATAATACTGTGATTTGAATGATCTACTTATTTGTTAGTGCATGCGAACACTTTCTTATTCTGCGTTGATATATGTTTGCTTCATAGTAAAGCTTGGATTTAATTTAAATCAACCTTTGTTTTGTTTTTGTTTCATAACGTTTTCTTTTTCTTTCTTTTTTCTATTGTTATGTTTTGTCTAATACATATAAAGTTTTCTGTGGTTATTTGTTTGCTCACATTTTTGCTTAGATATTAATCTTTAATGTCTTAAAATAAGTAATGTTATGTTTTACATTAGTCTTATGTAACATTGTTTTTTTATTTTGAAATTCATATTTTACATCATCAATTTTGTGGCATTATTCATTAAGTGACATTTTATATCGAGTAAAATAAAATATATTGTAACTTGTAATGCAATTGTTACATAGTATTTGTTTGTAAATCTAAAAGAAAGTTCTTTAAAGTACTCTCAGAATTAGGTGAAATTGACAAAAAATAACGTACTGAATTTGAAGAAATGCAAAGAATATTACATTAAAATGATGAACTAATCTTTGTTAATAAGCATGGCACTTACTGTCTAAGAACCATTTAAATTTAGCTACGGGTTTGGTTATGCTAAATATTTAAGATATCTAGTACCAAATGCTACGAAATACAAACCGTTGCAAGTAAAACTGCATTATAATGATAAATAACACCAATGTCATGTTAATAGGCACTTACATTTTTCTCTTGTCTAGGAGTCATCTAAGTTTAGCTACTGGTTTGGTTGACCAACGAGTTGATAGGATTGCCATGCTCAAAGATACTTCGCTACAATCTGTTTTCTGCTCAAAACAGGAACAATCTGAAGGTATTTATGATAGATATTATATAACATTGTTGTGATATTGTTTTATGCACGATTTCGTTTGACTTTATTTCTGTTTTATATGGTTGGTAAAATTCCAGAGCTAAGTTTTTGAAATCTGAACCCCCCCCCATCATTCCCAACAATTATACCAGTGTTTGCCTAGGTTCAGGTTCCCTGGACGCTTTGTCGGTGGTTTTGGGTGGAGTGGCATTTTTTCTTCTTTTCACTGTGTTCCTTTAACGTTGCACCCCTGTGTGATTTGTCTTCATACTTTGTAAACATCGTGTCACATGATTTTCCTATTGTTTATTTTATAGATGAGTCCGACCTGTCTCCAAAAATAAGAGACCTGACAGACACAGACAAGAAAGCAATACGGTCACTTAGGAAGATAAAGTATTTTGTTGCCAGAAAAAAATTTAGGGAGGCTTTAAGACCCTATGATGTCAAGGATGTTATCGAGCAATACTCGGCAGGTCATGTTGATATGCTTAGTCGAGTAAAAAGTCTACAATGCAGGTAAATTTCAAAGTGGTCATTTCAAACCAGTAAATAAAACGAATTATTTAAAGTCACGAATTTATCAATCATTTAGTTATACATTACTATTACTATTTTCTATCCATTATATAAAACCTTTATAGCATGGCGTTTTAGTAACAGAAATCAGGTTCATTTTGACTGTCCTAGCTGATGATTTAGCACCATTTAAACTAGTAAGAATGGAATGTCATCATAAACTTTACAACTCATAGGATAAAACTAAGAATATGTAGGTTGACAAAGCTATAAAAACACATGATTGATAATTAAAAATTCTATCTTTTAAACTGGCGTAATGTTATTCTACGTTTCAGGCTTGATCAGATTCTCGGTAAATCTGGAAGTAAGAATAAAGATGTTTACGAGTCAAAAGTAAGCTTGTCCTCAAGAATTGTAAAAGTAGAAAGACAGGTAAACATTATGTTATTTATGATCTGATTTAGCAAGTTTGCTATCGGGGGATAAATGGCTGAGTTGTTAAGGTCATTGACTTCAAACCACTTGTCTCACATCGCTGTATGTTCGATCAGCTGAAGTGTCTTTCGATTCAGCCGTGTGAAAAAGCTATCCAGCTAGCTAACGGAACGTCGGTAGTTCTACTTAGTTGCCCGTTTGTGCCAAAAATTACCACACCCAAGTCTTTCCTCAAGCTTGAAAGTCACAATATAATCCAAACTGTATTGGCGCGGTTATTTTATGCTTATTACAGAACACATTTTTTAGAACTGAGCTTTATTAAAGTTTTTCGTAATTGAATGATTTTCTGGAAGATTATTTATTTATTGAATAACACAAACGTTACTGTTCTCCACCGTATAAGTATCATGAAGTTAAATCCATTTTATTAACGAATAGAAGTTGTTAAATGAAACAGCTAGTTACAATATAAAGTAACCGCTCATCGATGAAATATAAAAATTGTAATGTAAACCGAGGTATTTTATCTGCTTAAGCCAATTCCATGCTTTGAATCTTATTAAATATGGTAGAAAATGACACATCACTATGTTTTTCAGGTCGAAGATATAGAATCAAAACTGGATCTTCTCATTGATCTATATAAAGATGACAGGAAGATTTTGCTAAACCCGAACCATTCAAGCAGTACGCCAGAAAGATCACCAAATGGAATAGATTCACACCATCCAAAACCTAGATCAATACTTATTGATAAACAGCACGCTAGTGAACCATCATCTCCTATTACAGAGAAACATGATAAAAAAGTAATCATGAGAAATCATTCCGACCTTAGTTCAAGGATGAGGAAACGCGTCACCTATAAGTTACAATCCGCTCCATTTAAGAACAAAATATCTCACGATGGTTTTGGACGTTCTGAGAAAAGCCCAAAAGAACTTCCAATAAACGAATTAAGTCCCTTATATACAATTAAAAGTAATTCTACCGAAAACGAACCTTCTGATTTAAAAGAAATATGCAATGCATCAATCAATGAACAAAGAACAGGTAATGACACGTTAGAAAATACAACTGATGGTGCAGAACATAGTCTTGAAAATGATGATAAAAATGTGAATAATGAAAATGTAGGGAATTTACTTATAGAACACAATACAGAAACTGAGAGCAAGGATATTGAAGAGGGTAACTCTGCTTCAATATTACCTGCCGTTTCTATGTGTAATTCAATAGGGCATGATATCGAAAAGTCACAGACAGAATGTCTTATTGATATTGGTGAATGTGACAATTCAGAAGACCTAACGACAAAAACCTACGTTCCAGTTTGTAACAGTGACCAGTCAAGGGAACATGTTGTTCTTGTTCCGCTTGGTTCCATGCAAGCGCTTGCAGCCGATTCATCGGATGTTTGATATAGCCGGCTTGTTACATCATTGCTATATTGACACATACAATATGTATCATTTGAATTTTTAAATGGAATTAAATGATCCTTGGGCTATATATTAGTGTTATAGAGATGGAAAAGTGCAATAGAATTACGCTCTCGAGTATCATATAATTTGATGGATTTTACCATTGTTTAGTGTTTTATTACAACCGCATTTGTTTTTAAAAAATGTCAACAACAACAAGTTATGAGAGAATTATATAAACATTTATTAACATAGATAGACAAATGCTTACCAATTTGATTATTCATGTGTGAAACCAATTGGAATGTCATCAGTTACTGTTGTCGTCACAAACAATCACCGTACGATAGAAATGATTTCGACTGATTGATACCAAACTATTTTCTCATTTTTTAAAGATAGCTGTAGAAACAAAAACAGGTGGAAATCCCCTTTTAATTAATTTCACTTTCACATAAATTATTCCCAACAAATGTCTTTGCTCTGACTCTATTTCAATGTAATAAACGAAGTTAAATTATTTAAAATCACCCCGTAAGGCAAATGTTATAACTAGCAGTTGTTGTTCCTACATTAATTACTCATACTTTAAATATAAATGCAAATTATTTAATCACGTTTCTGGTGTAAAATCTAAATCAACTGAACTACGATACATGAATTGCATCATAAACAATACTTTCAAACTCTCTTTCGGTACCATAATATAAATGTGCAATGCATAATGATAACCCAGAAATATAAAGTATTATGTAAAATATAAGACAATATAATGCTGACGGCAAAAGAAGCTAGAGAACAAGAGTGTGTTTTGTATTTATTCTTTAATAGCTTCATATAGAATATAAAATGTTTGAATAGACAAAAAAAAGATGATCTGTTTTATTTTTTATTTATAAAAATAACAAACCACTTTACACAAATATATGAATATGAAATTTGCGTTGTTCAAAATGAGACCGAATCTTTTAAATTGTGTGTTGATTTGGAATTGTTTACATGCCTTCATGATTACATAACTTATGTATTTAAATTGCTTGTTCTTTGAGAGAAATAAGAAACGTTTGTGCTCAAAATGTGCAATTGTGTTCAAACAGATTATGAACTGAATATTTTTAATTTCAATAATAGATATAACATGTAATTGTGTTCCCTAACGACCCAGTTCTGCTGAAACCGGTTGTGATAAGCCTTTTCACTAAAAAAAGATCAATGCATGCCTGCACTTCCGTGCAGTCTGACCATGCTCTAAATGTTGATAAATCATGATTATATCTTTAGATAAATTATTTCAATTTTTTAAGTGGCGACGTAGCTGAGTGGTTAACGCATCGGACTAGTAATCTAATGATCGCTAGCCGCATGGGTTCAAACCCCATCAGGGGCAAGTCGTTGTTTCCTGGAGCAAGAAACTTTTCACTCATTGCTCAGTACTGGTTGGTTCCAGAAACGGATTCGAAGGGTGGTCTAGAAGCTTAAAGCTTCCTAAAAAGTCGAGCTTAAATAAATTATGTATAAACCAACTCCTTTTACATTTTTTGGACGGTCCCAAATTCAAAGTTGGATGAATGTATTGAACAATTTCAGCAGGTAAAGGTATTTTCTAAATGTGTCATTGGGGTAATGTAAATGTCAACAGATTTTGCTCAAGATTTACAGTTGCAGAATGGCATTAAAACGGCTAACTGTACAGCATTGTGTAAGTCAAACTATGTTAGTTTTTTGTCAATTTAAACAAAATTTTATGAACTGTTATTGTTACGAATGGTTTGTTAATATTTTAAATCTAAAAATATTGTGTCAATAAATATTTCAAACAATTTTGGTGTTATGATATGTTTGTATGAACACAAAAATTTTAGTGGATGTTCTGATCAACCGGGCTTTAGAATTTCTTTTGTGCTGTTATTTAATTCAAATGATGGAATTAAACTTGTATATGCTTACCATTATACTTCATTGCAAATTAAATCTTTAATAAAGCATATTTGATATGCAAAAATAGTATTAAATAAAATATAATATTGTCATTGTAACTACCTGTGCCAATACAAGATAAAAATGTAAGACATTACACTATAAAAACCTTTATCTGGCACTAGCACAATATTCATAAAATGAAGAATACATTTAAAAATGGTAACCACTGCAAAAAAAACTTCAATTTTACATTGTTCTCTAAAATAGACCATACATACGAGGGTCAAAGCCTAAATCAACACCTTTGAAATAGTGAATGGTTTGTTAGATCCAAACATGAGTAATTAAAAAAGTTGAATTGAATGAGTATGTTCATAAATGATAAGGGTGCAAAATTGCTCACGCCCCCCTCCCCCACCGTCCCGGCATCATTAGTTGCACTCTACATCACTCACGTGCTGTAATGAAATTGTTAATGTTTAAAAATTATATATTCATTCAATATTACAACAATAAGCATTGCAGAAAGCCACTTTTAAAATGAAAAAGCCTGAATCACTTTTGACTGAAATATGCTATCATATCATTTGGGAAATATATTATACCATTTCACAAAATGAGGAATTAAATATTAAGCAAACGTCTAGTCACTGGTATTTTCAAATGTCAATTCAGCATATTTGCCCGTTGACTGTGTACATAAAAGTGATTAGAAATATCTCGCTGATATTTCCTATCATTTCCTCATTCAGACAATAAGGATGAATAGCTCTAGCGACTATTGCTATAATATCATTGAACGAACTGTTTACTTTAAAACTGCATGCCTCTAGATGAATGAGTCAAAATGTTTCAAGAATTTTCAAAATCAAATTTCACAAAAATATACTAAGGTTTTATGAAAAATAAAAAGAATATAATATATAACATTCAAGATTCAAGTTATTATTTACAGGTTGTGTGCGTTTAATTACTAAATGAGCAGTATTTCTCACCATATTTTTACTGTCTGACTAATAGTAGTTTGTAGAGATTTTTTATACTTTGTCATTTATATTATATTAGAGATTGACACAAAAAATTGGTCACCAGTTTTTGCAAGGAAAGTAAACATAGTCAAAATCGGCAACTTTTGATAAGAATTGTGCTTTGATGCATATATTTCCGAAGCTTCCACAAAATAAAATGTCAATTAAAACACGTTTTCGTTTTAAAAACGATACACTCGCTATCAGCTTTTACGACTGACAATAGTTGTTTTACCTTTCAATAAAAATTTCACAGATGTATTTTTTATTGCTCCTTGCTACAGATGTCTGTAATGTCATATGAAAGCAATTAACAGCAAAACTAAACCGCCTCTTGGGATATCAATAATTGATACTCTGACATAATACAACATTGTACAAGCATATACATGTATATTCCCCGCATTCTTTCCTAGCTATGTTGACTTAATAAAAATAGCACTTTCGACGTTGCCGGCTATATAAAGCTGTATAGATATTTTATATTTGGTCTTAATTCAGGACACAGTGTTGCATATATTTGTAACAATAGCGTGCGACTCAAAGATGGGGAGAGAAAACTGAAACAAGATCCCAGATATATGTTCATTATCCAACTAAACACATCGATGGTCACGTGGCAACTGCATCGATGCATATATTTGTCACCTGAACATCGGCAGTTCAATTACGGATGACACTCACACAGCTAAGACACAACAAACACACTAACTACATAATAACTTCTCTATGACATATATAGTCTAAGAACGAACACGTGTGTCAAATAAAATGTTCTAGCCTGTGAATTTGTTAGACACAGTTCTCTCTAGAGTTAATATAATCGGGAATTTCTGCGATAGCATTGTTCATTTGCTGTCCTTTTATGATGTCCTGGTTATATACATATCCAGGACAGGATCGCTGAAAATGTCAAGTCTCTGATGTTACAAGGTTAAAGGTTAAGAAGCCCGTTGAACAATTGTTGACTGGCGGAAAAGAATTACTGAATGAATAAAACGTTTACGTCATTACAACAATGCAAACTTTAATTGTGTAATACAGATAATACACATTCAAATCAAATTTGAATCTTCATTACATTACTGAGCTTGCAGGTTATGAAGCCTGCATATCACAGATAAGAAGTAAAATAAACAGGCAACATATCATTAGGGTGATTTATCATTATTCAGATAGGAATATTGGAACCATCGAACTAGAAAATGTCAAATGTTTAAAGTAAAGTACCAGAAACACAACAAATATGTCGTGCTTAACGATAACATCTCTGATTGAATGTACGGGGTGAATTTTGACAGCCTCCACACGGCACAAACAAAGCTAATGTGGCGAGGAAATAGAGAAAATAAGAACACCTAAAGAAAACCCAGAACGACAAAATTAAAAAAAATAATTTGAGTAGTCTGAGGTGTCTTTTTTAACCTTAAGTAAAAACCACTCTGTTATTACCCGAAGTTGTTATATGATCTCAATTTTATGACAAAAGCTCTTTGATCGAGGCAGCATTTTCTCAAGACATAATTATACACTGTCTAGTTTAAAAAAACGGCTTCATCTGATGTCATATTGCCAACATTTTATCATATTCCTTCTGATTTGTACTTAGCTAATAATCAAATAAAAGGTAATTTGTATTGTCCGTATTCTGAGAGATGGAATATTGTTTACGGATGAAGAAATTTACTGTATTTATTTAATTGAATAAGACATAACAAAGCAAGTAAGACACTCATAACACGGGAACAGCGACCATATCAATTTCCTTAACATAAAACAGACATATCCATAATAAGGTTACAAGGATTCTTCGGAAACAAGGTCATAAAATCATATCACTGCGTTCTTAGATCAGTCTTAATGTTATAGATAGGGTGATATAAACTGATAACTATAGTGAACATACAAAGAGACAGTCTGCTACACGTATAACCTTTCGTTCCTTAACATTATTCGGCTGATCAAATGAAAATCATTTTATCAATGTAGGTATAAAAGGCACCAAAAGCCTTAGCAATAACACATTGTCTTGTTTAGGGTGGGGAAAAGATTTAGTTAATTATTTAGATCACGTAAGTTGCTTTTCATTGCAAGCGCTGACTCATGAATATGTTGTAATAGAAGTAACAAAATGCAAAATAAAAGTGTGATAGAAAATACTAAGTCCCTATTTAATGTTCTAAATGCCATCATTCAAAAAAAGACAAATGTGGTGCAGCTATATAGTGTACGAGTAGCTCATAATGGCTGAATGGTTCTTTAAAAGATGTATAATCATTTTTTTTTTATATCAATTGTTTCACCTACACAACAAGTTGTTTCGGTATAAACACCAGTTATACCGGTACATACTTTGCATTGTTTTGTATATTAAACAGAATGCGAGCCATGTGTTTGTCTTATCTGAATTGATATTTTTCTAAATGCAAACCGTTATTTATTTAAACAGACTATAGACGGTCAGTTTGTATAATAGAAAAAAACAAACACCGATTTTCATGTTATTACTCGTTGCATTCCAAAAGGTTTTGTCAAATTCAAGCTAATGCAATCAGCAATTCTATGAATTAAATGAAAAAATAAACAGTCAGCATTCAAGGTAAAGGTAATTTAACCAGACCATTAACATTCCAGTAGCAATCTCATTACCCACAATAAACTGTTTATATTGCTTGGTTGCATGATTTCATTAGATAAACAACGTAAACATGTTTACAATCGTGTTTTCAATCGTGCAAATGCGAACATAAAACGAAAAATCTTATTCAACAATATAATATGATATTATATGACATATGATATAACAGAGATCAAAACACAATCAATTGCATTTGAAGAAAACTTTCGACAAGGTAGAGTTTTAATTATCAAATCATAATAATTCTTTAAAATTAAAAAAAAGCCATGCAAAGTATATTCTAAACCGACCTTTACCTTATTTTCATATGCCCTGTTTTATATTAAAGCAAACATTATAGCATCTGTTGTGGGTAAGACAGAGCATGTGGATATCCCAATCCGAAGAATTCTCCGTTTACACTCTTCTACTCACTTTAAAGAAAATGAATCTTTAGAAATCTAATAACTATTAACATAGTATCATGAATAACTGTTATTTTAACAAGTCAGATATGTATTCAACTGAATAATAATAATATTTCATCTTATATTTAAAATATACTTGTATATTATTCTGCAACAAGAACTGTTCACTGAACACACAGACAATTTCCCTTTTTACTTATACGAAATTGATAGTTTTAAGCAGATGTTGTTTGAAGGAGCAATATTTGTCGGCAAGTTATAGAAATTTAGGGCTATCAATTACAAAATTTCTGAAAACTCTAATATTTAAAAGGTAATATAAAACGCATTTAAGTAGCATACCTACAAAATATGCCAAAATAGACCATTAACATTCCAGTATAATACATTCCAGTATAATGTACTGAGTTAGTCACGCAGTAGAAGTACGGTTTATAATACTTCACAAACGGTCATTAATCACACATATCATGTAAATTATTTCTTGAAACTAAAATCTTTTTACTTTTCTTTAAAAACATTTGTCTTTCAAATTTGAATTTCGTTAAATATTTTTACCCATCCAGAGGAGTGCACCTTAAATATATCTTTGTAATTCAAAATATGCAAAATTTGTCATGCCGCGGATCAATAGCGTTCCATCACCGTATCAGTTATTTATATTTGAATAAAAATAATTTATGGAAATTTCAGAGAAATATCTCGTGACACATGAATACAGATCGGGAGTTTTATAACCTAGGGTTAAAACATGGATCTATTTTCTATGAATAACTTGGGAATTTATACGGTTGATAGTACATATAGACATATAGACGGACGACATA